ATTTCGCTCGTTTTATACCAAATCTTTAACTCGTTTAATAAAAATGGTATTACACGGAAGGTCGTTTAGTATCCTGTTTATTACTCTCCAACATAAATTGATAAAAACTGCCTACGTAGTGTGATGACTCTCAGCTTTACACGAGTCAAACAATGTCTAATACCTTTGTGACAGAGGTATTAGCATTGTGACGTCATAACTGTAACCAATTATGACGTCATACGTCTAGCGGTATTACACTAGTGTAATATTACTGTAAAAATATTACACTGCAGTATCTTACACGGGCGAGTAATAAATAGAGATTACTAAACGAGTGTCTGTCAGATACCATTTATCTTACAACGAGTTGTTTCAAAACGTATTTAACGAGCGAAAGCGAGTTGTAAGATAAATGGTATCTGACAGACACGAGTACAGTAATCTGTTTCTTACACACCATAAAATCGCACCATTTTATGATCGAATAGATTCATATTTCATGTTTTCTCATTGCAGGTGCGCAATAATACACAACACATTTATGAATGAGTGACGTCACTTGGCTTCCTAATCACTACTCATCCCTATGGTGACCCTCCACAAAAAGGTTTCTGCCACCTCTTCGCATTATCAAGGCAATGGTGATAATGATAACTAGATAAGATCACAGAAAATTAATTAAACCCTCTAAAACGATGATGTTACCATGCAAATGTGGATGATTTTAATTCTTGCAAGCGTAAAATATTTGAGCGAGTGACGTCATCGTTATCGCTTGGTGGTTGTCGTCATCGGAAGATTGTTTGGGTATATCTGCACATTGGGGATCTGTACTTGTGTACCAGTTTACGTTCAATGTTCTCCCATCGTCCGGAGCCAAAACTTTTGAGTGTGTGTAATTAGGTCCTCTTCATCAATGCATCAAAGAAACAACGAGGCAAATCGATCTCACAATGGACAGGCACTGACGTTATCGTGTCAGGTATTTTTGCAAGACAACACATGACTCTTGTCGCATCTCTCCAGTAAAAGTGCCAGTGTTGTACATTTTGAATATATTAGAAGGGAATCAAGGGCTTTATCTGTAACGGTGATTTTCACATAATTGTTTACACAGGTATCACTGATTGTTGGAGCCATTTTGAATTCATGACTAGGAATCAAAAGTTTTAATAAAAGGAATTAGAAAATGAATAGATTCGTGTTATATTTATTCTACTTGTGATTCATTGTATAAATGCCTGTTTATGTTGCAATCGCGAAAATAATGGGTAGGTGTAAAGGGGTATTTTGGGCACGAGTAACAGGTTTCTGTTCGATTGAAGCACGAGTAACTTATCAATTAAGTTTAATCAGGAAAGTAGTCCGTCATAACCTGACCTTAGGTCATCACCATGGAGTAGCCAATCACGGGATTAGAAATCGATCTCACACATATGTGTGATACCAGTTTTCTCACATGGGTTTCTCACCCACGGGTGTGTAAGAAACGAAATTAACATTGTTCCTAATAACTGCCTGACTGTTTCATCATCGATACCACTTAGCTATATTGACTTATAATACGGAAAACAATCAAGATCTTTCATCCGTCTTGTTCATGTGAACAATACCATCAAGACAACATATTTAAAACAGATCACATATACTCTAGGGGGGTACAAATGCATAAATCAATTATTGGCATCGTTATAAATGAACCCCGTCGTTAAACTACTCATTTTAACTTTTAATTAACTTAAATCGACCCTTTTGACAACAGTGCACAATTCTCTCCCGCGAACGAAATTTCAACCAATCAGAGGGGCGTGTCTCCGTGACGTAATGTGAGGTTTACATATGAGGGGCGATGTAGAATTCATGTACGTTTCCGAGGGCAGACTATCTTGTTTTCAGGGTTGCCTAAACTTGAAATCGTGACAATTGTTGTGAAAAATGAAAGTTTGATGTTTCAACAATCTGCTGTCATTTAATCTTGTCACCTGCTTTGCCTAGTTTCAACTTGATTTCATAAACGCTTACGTCAAAATCGCAGTGGGACATTAGGAAGGGTGGATGCCCATCAGATGCCGTCATTTGAATATATCCCCGGTAGTTCTTGTCTGATTGTAATAATGTATCCCAACAGTGTCGCTTTTTCAGATTTTCTAATGCTTGGATGGTATAATGACTGATCCAATTTGATCCTATTTCTGTGTTTTTACCTCGATATTTCATCATGTCGTGTAAAATTATTATGTCTTTTTTTTGCTATGATATTAAAAACACACATTTGATTTATTTGAAACCGTAAACTAAACAACCCCACTTTGCCATTGTTAGACAAATCTGAAAATTTACTTGGGTAAATAGCTAATAACAATTTTTAACTAAGTACACAGCAAATGCTTATATGCATTTCTTATGCAATAATGAAGTTCAGTTCGTATCATCTAAACTGTGTCGGCCCATATTTTGTTTTGCATGCAATACAGCGATTACTACTCTCTTGCTTTAACCCTTGTTTGGTGGTAAACCTACACATGTTATTTGTCATCATTCGGGGCGGCGGGGTTGCCTAGTGGTTAAAAGGTTCGCTCGTCACGGCGAAGACCCGGGTTCGATTCCCTGCATGGGTACAATGTGTGAAGCCCATTTCTGGTGTCCCCCGCCGTGATATTGCTGGATTATTGCTAAAAGCGGCGTAAAACCCAACTCACTATTTGTCATCATTCACTTATCAAGTATAATTAGTGGTAACACCACTCAGATTACCCGACAAAGGTCCCCATTTGACATTTCGCGTGTCTGGAGTAGATACTCATCATGATGAATTAAGGTCTGATGCGGCGAGTGGATTACATGTTATGTGATATGTGCATGGAAGTGCAGCAAGAGGAATTATCAGCTGAGTTACAAAAACAAACATCGATCAAAGGATTAACCGATAACACGCTGATTGATTAATTGCTTTTATCTTGCACAGCGGATTTGTTAAAAGATAGTGATTTACTCAACTATACTGAATGCACCCTGTCGTAAAGTGTCTGTGTACAAACAACGTCCTTCTTTCAAAGGATTAGCCGCCAATACATTGATTGATTGCTCATTAGTGGAAGAAACCATTGTTGCAAGTTGTGTCATGCAAAATCCTTTTGGTTATGATTCAAATACATATTTAACTACGAGTAGAAAGTAGTTTTGATTTTTTAACTTGATGAAAACAAACCATTATCTCATTAATTCTTTAACAGACTCTAGCCCATGACGTCACGATATTTAAAATGGCGGCGCCCTGTCGCGAACATCCGCCAGTCTGAGAACAAATGCTACTTAGGTTTGTTTACACCGAGTTACAAAATCATAACTACTTTCTACTGGTAGTAAAATATGTATTTGATTGATGGCCAATAGTTTAACATAACAATTTCTCTCTTGGAAGCGAGGTGGGTGTCAATATAGTAACTCTTACAATACTATTGTGGACTTGACCACAACCTCGCTTCCTTGGTGTTCCGCTTAAGACTAACTACACGTCTTTCATATGTACTGACCGCCTCTGTTGTGTAGTGGTTAGAGCGTCCGCCCGGAGAGCGGAAGGTCGCGGGTTCGATCCCCGAACGTGTCATACCAAAAGACGTTAAAATATGTTGGTCCCTGCCTGGCGTTCGGCATTAATGGGTACAACAAGGACTGGCCGGCTCGGAGTCAGTATAATGTGTCTGAGTGGGGTATTCATGCTTCACTGCGGGATGGTATCTCAGTGGGCTAGCACTATAAAACCAGCTTCAGTCTGGGCTAGTACAAGCAGCCACACATACATATACACACTCATGCACGTCGTCATATGAGCAAACTATTCTCAAGTACGACATTAAACCCAATTTCACCTCACCTCACCTCATATGTACTGGTTAAAAGAGTACAAAAACCAAAAGTTCATTCGTTCTTTAAAGTTAGATTGACGATCCTGAAGTCAGTGTATGTATGATATCCGATACTGTACAATAGTCTGATTATTTTCTGTTGCATCGTAAGTAACATAAGCAGGTTGAGGCCTCAGACAGCCTGGATTCTCCTATTCTTACCGCGACCAGATGCTCACCCCTGAACTCGTTCCTTTCATGGCGGCTCATGGCCCAGGTCTACAGTTCCAGCATGATAATGCTCGGCCGCATACCGCGATGTTGACACGAAATTTCCTTCAAAACGCTGGAATCAACGTCATGGACTGGCCATCGAGGTCCCCTGACCTTAATCCAATAGAGCACGTTTGGGATGCACTTGGGAGAAGGCTTCATGGTCTTAGGAACCAACCTCAAAATTTGCGGGAACTTGGCGCTGCCTTGCAAGAGCAATGGCTCAGAATCCCCAACCACGTGTTCACAAGCATCAGGCAGTCGATAAGGAGACGGTGTTTGTCAGTGGTGAATGCGCGGGGCGGCCATACACGATATTGAACTGAGAAATTTCGCATTTCTATTCTTGTGACTTGACATTCTGTATACCCATGTTTTGGAACGGCGGTGTAGCCTAATGGAACTGATTATGGCACTGTCAGTGTATCGAGTACATCACACAGATCTCAGCAATGAAATAATAACAATTTAACCATCTTACCATCTCTTGTTCTTTTATAGTGCCCTGAAGAAAGAATGTGAAGTTTCTGTTTTGACTCAGTATATATAAACAAGTCCTTCAACACACCTCGGTATTATCCATCTGACAAAGAAATATATATGGTCGTATTATTGTTAACCTTTGGATGGCTGTGATGTAAAATATGGTATTTACTAGCATGAGTAAGATGAAGCCGGATTGTGTCCTGGGTGTCAGCACCCATGATCAGTGATTTCACCAGAGTGATCAACATCAGATGGTACGCTGTGGTGTAACTGAAATATTGTTGAAAGCGACCTTACTTCACTCTCTGGTTTCACGTATTAAAATAGCTACTCCTCTCACTATGTTAACATATGGAAGCAAGTTACGCCACACTTCTCGGTATTATCCACCTGACAAACCCACAAACATGTAGGTCATGTCGCTGACATTTATTGACAATGGAATCTCTACACTCAACAAGATTACATGCGGGTGAGACACACATAGTCAGTAAGGAAGTCCAGCATCGCTCGGCCAGCCTCATCCAGGACGTCAGTCTCAGCATTGACCCTGTTCAGTTCTTGAACCGCCTCCGGCAACGTCTGGACTAGTTCTGCAGCTCTGTTGATGAAACCGGCTCTGGTGTGGAAGGTGATGAGACCAGCTGATACATAGGCAGCATGTAGAGACTTGTCGTAGGGGCGAGGTTTACGTCTGATAGAAGACATTGCTTTGGCGTCTGGGAGGCGGGACACATCCTTGTAGCCTCTGTGGACGAGCTCAGCATAAAACAGTGTGATGTGGATGAACTCGTGAACGAGTTGTTCTGCCATCACAGGTACTGTCCAGTCTTCTTGCGGATTCAACCATATCAGCCCTAAGGCAGAATTAGCTGACCCACTGATGTGCGTGGCAGCTTCATCCTTGGCAAAGGCAATGCAAGAAATCATTTGAACCATTGCGCTATGCAGTTCCGTGTGGGTCTTGTTTATTAAATTCAGTGCCTCGGTAGCCAGTAGTCGTATATATTCTTGTTCCTCCTTAGTGTAGAGGTGTTTGGCTGCTTTCACATATGACTTTGAAAGCGGTACAAGGCGTGATCTGTTCAATCCCTCTACCACATCTTCGTCCCCAAAGCTAAACATTATCTGGTTTCCTTTTACAGGGAGACGTATGGCTTGTAAATCTTGAAGTTCCTCAAAAAGATCTAATTTTAAAGTTTCATTGCTTTCAGTGATAATTATATTTGTCAACCCATAAGCAGCCAAACGTTGGTTCATTACATTTATGTCAAACCGGAAGGGCCAGAACAGATTCATAAAATCTGGAGTCTTCCCGAGCAGAGTTATGTCTGAATGGTGAGTTGACATCGGTACGTTGGGTGATTCATCACATCTGTCAGGTAAAGCGCTAAGAACATCGCTCCATGACTTGAAAGAAGTATTAATGTCACTACTGATCGTTTGTCGAAGATCTGAAACTTCACGGAACCATGCCAGAATGTCAGGGCTCTGTATAATTGTATTATCTCTTTTTTCCAAAATGGATCCCAGTGACCTTTCATCTGCTTTCAGTGTGTCAGACAGTCCTTTCAAAATATCTTTTACCACAATCAAACCTATGTCTCTTTCTAATGCAGAGGCTTGCTGTGAACGCTTCGAAACATCTTCGCCTATCCATTTGCTGATTTTTAGTTTGTCGAACTGCTTTTCAATGACTCCTTTGAAGTTTTCAACCATGTAATTCTTGAAATATTCTTTCATGTTGTCGTGTAGAGTACCTTTGAAGCCATGTTGTATTTCCTTCGGGAGAATACCAGTGACGAACGTTGACAGACACAAGAGGAACAGCAGAGTTCTTAGTTCCATACCTATGGGAAAACATGTTCTGATTACATACATTTATGTCCACAAAATGATCGATATCGTGCTATAGAAGGGAATAGAGACAAACTACATTTATGTAAAGAGCACATTTCGTTATTCAGGTGACATGTTCATGATGAATTGCGAATCGTAGATTAGACTGTGTATGAATTTTGTAGCTTTTTTAAGTTATACATTGTGAAATAAGTCAAGATCTTATGTCTTTCAAATCTTGCCGTTTCCGTACTTTACTTGTCATAATTACTTGAACACGATGCAAGATACTTTAAGTCCTCTGCTCATGACAATTTCTTGAACACAATGCAAGATACTTTAAATCCTCTGCTCATGACAATATTTAATTTCTTGATAGAAAGATTAACACATACATGTAATTGTAAATAGGTTCTCCAGATAGTGTGTTACATATGAACTGATACCCATCTTATTCCTCTTTCGTATATTCATTAGATATGTTACACTGAGCATTAATCATGCACCACCTGAATCCAAGGGCAATTTGCGAACATTTGGTCCAATCAGACCACCATAACCAAGCATACTAGAATGCATAAGTAGACACGGGCTTCAAAACCCTATCGGTCATATGTTCAAGTTCTGCTGTGCTCCAAGCACATTCTGGTGTATATTGCAGTGTGTACACTACAGTTTTCTAAACTGATTTGCAAGATGACAGTATTAACAATTAATGTTTCTTGACATGGCAACACGGTGCTGAAGTCAACATTAACCACATGGTTATTAGTCGACACTTGAGTGAGTGAGTGAGTTAAGATTTAAAGTCACATCGGCAATATTTCAGCCATATCTTGACTAAAACTAGTTCTAAATTTATAATACATACATATAACATATAAAACCCTGTCAACGAAGGAGAGCAAAACCACTATATTATCACAGATTGAGTTAAAACTAGCTAGCATATATCTTTAAAAGGAGAAAATTATTTCTGGACAATACAATGTAAAATTGGGCTATAGATCGCCAACAACTGAAGGTAGATCACCAAGTGGACATTTGAGGAATCATGTAGCCATTGGTGAAGTGAACGATGGTCCAATACCTGGAAGATTGATGACGGTGATGGTCGAGTCTTAATTCGTTTGTCAAGACGCAATCTCATGACATATCCCGAAATACTGTGCCGAGAATGGAGAGTGGGAGTTCAAGTCTCCACCTGAACCATTAGAGGGAAGCAACTGGTCAGAGGGACGCCCCTTCCTTACAGACACAGACAGACATAGTGCTCAGTGTGGTGTACGTTTTCTGTATGACTGCAACTTGGATTTCATTACCGCAAACGGGTGACTCATAGTCAGCATTATCAATAGAAGTGCCACATTTTGATAACCATCCCCATCACTCAGTGGTGCAGGTGGACATCTTGGATCTCGTTAAAGGGTTATCAATAGAAGTGCCGTCCTGATAATATTTTGCCACCATCATCTGTCCAGTCATCATGGATTACAGCCTAGACCTCTACTTTCTCGAGCTGTTGTCGCCCATTCTGAGAAGAACACACTCGTTACATTACTATGGCCGGCAAGAAACTCTGATGCAAACCCATCGATAAATTTTTGGCCTATCCATATTCAAACTGGAGATCCCTTCATTCAAAATCTGCAGGAACTGACGCAGGCAGGAGGAAACTGACAGATGTTATCCGTGTTATCCAAGTACAGGTGAGGACGTCAGTGATAGTTCATACAATCACAACAACCAATATTTGAGATATATGTCACATTCAGACTGGTGTTGTAGTCATGGTGACCGCGATGATATTCCCCATTTATGTATTCCTCTCAGATTGCAAAAAAAGTGGTATCAAATATAAATTTCAGTTTTGTGTTTCCTTTAATGCGAGTAAAATATATCACAGTTTTTGTTTTATTTTAATACGTGAATTTGGGTTTTCGGTGTATAAGCAACATGTGGTGCTTGATTAATGCTCATGAATCTTGTGAACCCCCTCACTTCCTGGTTGTTTTAATGTCATCTGGGTCCAGATGAAAAATGCATCTTAGTTTTATAAATATTGATCATATCTAGATGAAGTTCTGAAAGAAACTATCACTATTTCAAACTTTCCGTTTATTAACGGTGTTTAACCTCCCCACTCTCTTTATTCTACCGACAGAAGAGGATATGCATTCGCTTTTAACGAACACTTCACAAAAACAAAATAATATACTGAGTAAGTGTTATTTTCCCTTTTTGACCTCACAGAATCTGTTTCGGCGGATGGTCAACCCAGATTATCCCCTGGCTCTTGTAATAGCCGTTGTACAAAAACTGGAGCTTGAGATTATATTTATTAAATTATATACGAGTAACCCTTCATAAAAACCCTTCATAAAATTTGATAAATATTGTTCATTGGGTAACATTTTGAATATATTTCTTTCAGTTACAATGTGACTTTCTGCTTCTTGTCCAAATGCTCACAAGAACAAAACGATCATTGGCCATTCGTACTGTATAAATAGTTCCAAGTGTATCGTTCGTTCGACCCTCTCTGATCTCGAGGTTTAACTTATTCTGTTCCTTTTCAGCAACAAGTCTCTTTAATGAATGTCACAGGATGCACGTATAGCACTAAGCCCGCACTTTGTGACCTAACGTAAATAAGCCGCCATAGATAGAATGCTGAGAATTCATCTCAACTGATTCAATCAAACAAAGAGTATTTTTAGATACATACACAGAGGCAAAAGTTATTGCGACATGGAGTTGTTTCATTGGTCATTCATTGTGAATGAATTTTGGGATTTGACCTAGAGAAAGAGTGTGTTGAAATGGTCGACATTGCAGGAAATTGCAAGAAGCATGACATGTACAAGAAAAAATAGCCTGCAATGTCCCGTAATGTAGTCCTAAGAAGTGCAAAAGTCAGTAAAACACAGTCATCGATTCATCGGTTTGAAACAAGTTTGACCAGCCACGTCTAGCGGGGAAATAACAAATTTCGACCTGCCATGCTGAGGAAGCACTTCTGTCAGGTACCTTGCAGCATGATCCAACGTCAATGGAAGCAGCAAACAATCACGTTATACAGTACCCGTAGTTGCCACCCACCAGTAACAACCCCATCTAAAGGTCGATGGATTCACACCACTCCAGCAGTCTTTCCAGCCGCCCATTCCATACCTGGCAACAGAGGTGTATCTGCCAGAATAGCTCGGCGTCTATGGCATTCTGACGACCGGTTGTGATGCCAGAATAACGACGTCGACGTTTTCAGTATGACCGACCACCCTTCTGATGGGGTGCAGGTGAGTGGAGAAGAGTTCTCTTCACCTACGTGTCACGTTTCCTTTTCATTGTGCTTACGGCACAGGTGAACGGGTGAACGTTTCATCAGGCCATATGTTCTGGGAGGGGATCGTTTTTGAGGCGGGGGTATAATAATCATGGATGGGACAACAGCTGCAAGGACACTAAAGGTTTTGACTTAGGGGAACATTAATGCTGTGTCCACTGATTTGTCACGCGTTGAACACGGTTGGGGGACCAACGTTTACTATGCCATCCGAATCCAGGAATGCAGGAACTCCGTCAAATCCCTCCTCGGATATGGAATGATCATACCCAGGACTTCTACACACTGTTTGTGTTGTGACTCCTGTGTTGTGGCTCATTAGCATGTGCTAGGTGTTTTTAAGGACTGTTCGTGACCATATCTTGAAACAGTTCTCTTCACACCCAATAACATTATCTTTGCGTTTTAACAATGTTTGTTACTATTGTATGCAAATGACTGAATGATGGGCCTGTGGCCTTTTACTGAATAAACTTGTCTGTCTGTCTGTTTGTATTTCAGATTTTGCCCTCAAGTATATGGTACAGTGAGAGTTACCTCAAGTCATATGCACACTATTCGAACTGGGTGTGTCTATGGTTTTTGGAAGATAACCACGTTTCACAAACGGGGTAGCCTAGTGGGTAAAGCGTTTGCTCGTCACAACGAGGACCCGGGTTCGATTCCCCACTTGGGTACAATGTGTGAAGCCCATTCCTGGTGTCCCCCGACGTGATGTTGCTGGAATATTGTTAAAAGGGCCTAAAACCAAACTCACTCACTCACGTTCCACAAACAAAGAACATTGTAATGAAGGGAAGCATACTTACTTGAAGGAAACTCACCCTGACTGCCTACAGATTGTAGGTATAGTGATATGTATAGACCCTGAAAGTAGTGATAAAGAGTACCTTTCGTTGATAAATACCTGTCATACTTCCCACGCCGATAACTACTTCTTAAAAAACATAAACAGACACTTTTGAAGCTAATGCAAATTAAAAATCGCCAGATTAGCATATTGTGGTAGTGAACGGTCCATGCATCGAGTTCCACAGCAAGAATTGCCAATGCTGCTAAAGCAGGAGCACCTGCTGGTGATAAATATCTGTCATATTCCCATACAAAGTACTTTTCAACTTCTTAAAAGACGTAAATAGACACCTTCAAACATGGATACAAATATAAATCAACGGATAAGCATGTTATGGAAGGGAACGGTCCAGGCATCCAGAATGGCACACGCTGCCATAGTTAGGTAATCACACTGGCATGACTCCTGCATGGTGAATTCGGGTCATGTTGACATTGAGGCTCTCTCAAGAATCCCTAAACAGTCCATAATTTTTAAATAAATTCAAAATTTTAAATGTTAAAGCTCGGTATACGTTTAAGCAAAATAAACACCAGTCTTGGCGAACTTATGCTTCAAAGATAAAATCAAGTACGCCAATATCAAAAGAATGGAATGGTGATTTTCTTGTGGATTTTGTGGATTCATCTGCCCATTCTGATAATAAAGTGTCTTCACCCCTACCAGTCTGTTTTCAAGTGCTGGTTACAATTCGAAAAGGTATGAAACATTGTTTGTCACCGGAAGTACTAGCCGACACCTACTTACGGGCCCTGTGGTCAATGGTACTGCGATCTTTACGGAAACCACATTGGATATTTGTGATGGAAGTATTGGATTCCAAGTACCTAATTGTTATTAACTATGCGTTCCATGGTTTTGCAAACGCAGCTAGTCAGTGAAATAGGTTTGGGTATGGGTACAATTATGGCATTACGCCAGGATAAAGGGAATCTACCAGAGGTCTAAATTTCATCACATATACCTAATGAAGTTTCTAAACATGGTTCTAGTAAATGTTTCAAGTGTTGATAATGTATGTTATCACCTCCTGAAGCAATGTCATACGCTTGGGTATGTAATTGTTCCCATACCCAAACCTATTTCACTGACTAGCTGCGTTTGCAAAACCATGGAATGCATAGTTAATAACAATTAGGTACTTGGAATCCAATACTTCCATCACAAATATCCAATGTGGTTTCCGTAAAGATCGCAGTACCATTGACCACAGGGCCCGTAAGTAGATCTCGGCTAGTACTTCCGGTGACAAACAATGTTTCATACCTTTTCGAATTGTAACCAGCACTTGAAAACAGACTGGTAGGGGTGAAGACACTTTATTATCAGAATGGGCAGATGAATCCACAAAATCCACAAGAAAATCACCCGGCAACATTTGAAATGTTATAAATGGACAGGAAACATCATCCATCCTAGCGAAATGGTTATGTAGAATAACAAATAGATCATAATCATATTTTACTGGTTGCATTCATTAAAATATAGTTAATGTCACAAATACACACACCACGGCCACAAAATTCACACAGTGTACTGCAATAATAGAAACTGTTCAACCTTACCCATTTATGGAATGGAGGTTTTCAGTATCTACCCTTTTGGCACCTGCAAACAACATTTGCCACTTTTCCACAATTACAAAGGCATACACTAAAAGTAACGGTACATGTTATGCTATAAATAATTAAGTTACTAATTATTTGTAGTATTTCATAAGTTATATTCAAACTTATATTAACTTTTACTGTCTCTTGGTTAGGCCTGGATAGGAAATAGAACATGGGTTTTTCTCTCTCTGAGTAGACCGTCGTTCCACTAATTGAAAGCAGCGGTCAAATCGAAATTGGCACCCTTGAAGAGCAACCTCTTCGTGGTGAGTGCTGGGTAACGCTAATAGCTCTTTCCCCCGTGTGGGCCCGAGGGCATATGTACTACCGTCCAAAAGAAAGTATACCACATATTTTTGCCGTTTAAAATCTTAAATTTGAACCTCGATCCAGGAAAATTTACAGAAACATGTGACAAGGTTCTGACTACTTATGTGTAATGACAAATTTCTCGTCTCGCAAACTGTCTCGCTCAAATGCTCATTTTGAAAAAAGTAACATGCGCGTGCTCCACAAAATGCACGTGCAGAAAAACCGTATAAAAGCAGCTGGGCATTGTCACAGAATAAAAAAGCACACAAGAAACATGCCACGCCTGATCGCAGTAAAGAAAGAGATAGCCGTAGGAATGGCCCGACAAGGAGCGTCACATGCCCTCATCGCGAGAACCTTGGCTGCACCCTGGTATGCATCACCAGGTTGTTTCAGCGTCTCCGCAAGACAGGGCAGACAGTAGACAGGCCGAGAAGTGGGAGACCGCGGAGGATCACGCCCCAGGAGGACCGATACATCCGGGTAATCCACCTCAGGAACCACTTCATCCCGGCAACAGCAACGGCAACAACGGCACATCGTATCAGTCGACAGACAGTATCACGAAGACTGCGTGAACATGGTATTCGAGCATGACGTCCATACCGTGTGGTGGTACTGACACAATAACATCGGCGTAAGAGGCTCCAGTGGGGAAGACAAGTTCGACGTTGGCAAGTCCGAGACTGGTCACGTGTCCTCTTTTCGGATGAGAGCAGGTTCTGCGTATTCACAGCTGATGGCCGTCAACGTATCTACAGACGTAGTAGAGAACGTTTAGCTCCTAACTGTATCCAGGAAGTTCTGGTGTATGGTGGAGGTGGTGTTATGGTGTGTGTGTGTTGGGGGAGGGGATGTGGTTTACTGAAAACAAGGCTAGTCATCATTCGTGGCAACCTTACTGCACAGAGGTACAGGTATGACATTCTGTGACCGATAGTCCTTCCACTCATTCACCAACAGCCACGCGGCATTGTCTTCCAACACGATAACGCAAAACCTCATACCGCCAGACTGACAGGAGACTACATTAACAACATGAACGTCCACGTCTTACCTTGGCCAGCGTGTTCACCAGACATGAACCCTATCGAGCATTTGTGGCAGATTAGGAACAGACCAGTAACCCCAGTCAACGTGCAACAGCTGGAACAGTGCCTGAATGTCGCCTGGCAACAGATTCCACGCAACGTCATTAAACGCTTGACGTCATCCTTACGCCGACGTATTGTTGCTTGTGTCGATGCTCAAGGAGGACATACTCGCTACTGAGGCAGTACATGGCTCTAAATTGTGTACCAGGCAATTTGAAAAACTTTCTGTTTGTTCAGTTTTATTGTTCTGATCCATTTTTGGCTTCATGATGATATATTTGTATTTGATTGTACAACTCCAATTTAGTAATTTGCCTAGAGTCCTATGTCCAGAAGGCAGTAGCTCATGGGCAAATCTGGTGGAATAATTACTGTTCATTATTCTGCTTGAGTATATCATCCGGGATTCCTTGGTGCTGCAAGTTGGAAATCCTCTTGCGATCAGCATGATACTCCGTGGTGGGTGGGGGAGCTCGGATGACGAATCAAAATAAACCCAACATGGCTTACGAAACCCCAAACAAAAAAAGCGAAACGTCCACTCGATAATGAAGACGACCAACAGGGACCCTTCAAAATCCGTTGACTACTGGCCTCGCATCCTGATTCCTGAGCCTCTTGATAAAACTCCATTGGAGCTAAATCCGTTTGCAATATCAAAGGGTGTCTACGGCATAGCAGGTGAAATTAAAAACATTAAACGCTTGCGTTCAGGATCTCTCTTACTTGAGTGCCATAGAAAACAGCAAGCAACCAACCTGCTGTCAACAGAGATGTTATGGTCTGAACACCAGTAAAGGTATTGTACGAGACAGAGATCGTCTGTTTGCAGATATGACGGAAATTGAAATTGTAACTGAGATGAAAGATCAAGGAGCCCTCTACGTGAAAAAGATTTACAACCCGTAAAAATAATGAAACTGTGCAAACTAATACATATCTCTTTTTTTTCTCAGCGCCGAATCAATCAGTCAAGGCAGGTTACTGCAATGTAAATGTTGACGTGTACATCCCAAGTCCTCTGCAGTGTTTCAAATGCCAGAAATACGGACATGGTGTGAATACTTGCACATTGTCTGTTACATGTGCTCATTGTGGAGAAGAAGCACATGTAACAGAAGACTGTGACAGTAGTTTCAAGAAATGCACCAACTGCCTCGGATATCATTCATCCTTTTCCAAGGAATGTCCTATTTGAAAAAAAAACCAGATAGAGATCAATAGAATTAAATTCACTAGAAATATAAGCTTTGCTGAAGCTAAAAAGCTTGTACAGTCCAGTGACAATACTGAAACCTATGCCACCATCGCCAAGATACAACCTGAAACAACTGCAAAAGGAAATATTGTAACTACAACGTCACATTTCTTTCAAACAGACTGGACATGGATCGACTCTTATAGTCCTAACTTGTTTCCCCTCCACAGCCCACTCAGACAGCGACTTCACTTCCTGATCAACAAAGGCTCTCTCAGCAACAGTCATCTTCTGTTCAAAAACCTCAATCTCAACCGGAAAGAGAAGCAAACAGTAAAATCCAAAACAAAACGAAGAACAGAAACATCAAAAACAAATCGAGCCCCTAAAGGGTCAGATAAATTAAAATTATATAATAAGTTTGGGTCACTGGAGGACATGGATGTGTATGATAGCATCTAGCCTAGGGCACATAGCTTGTCGCCCTCTAAGAATGAGCGGGGTAGATCCCCAATCAACCCACCTAAAAGATAGTGATTTCCAAAAATATAGTACAGTGGAATTGTAGAGGTCTAAGGGTTAACTGTAATGAATTACAGCTATTAGTCCAAGATTTTAACCCTTCGGCATTCTGTCTTCAGGAAACCTATCTGAAGCAGACGGATACTTTTAATTTACGTCATTACGAGCTATGTCAATATGTTTCACCTCCGGGTGACAGGGCCACTGGAGGAGCTTCAATACGTGTTAAGAAGGGTGTTATACATAGTGCTTAAACACTTCGAGCAAATGTCCAAGCCGTTGCTGTGCGACTCATTTTACACGTTGCTTTTACATTATGATCTCTATATATTCCGCCTTCAACACTTCAGCAGAATGATCTCCAAATTCTCTATGACCAACTCCCGAAACCCTGTATCATGTTGGGCGATATGAACGGCCACAGTCCGCTCTGGGGTAGTTCAGCAACAAATACCAAGGGTAAGGTACTGGAAGATTTTATCTCCAATAACGACCTATGTATACTCAATGATGAAAGAGGCACTTACCTGCACCCTGCAACCGGCACCGACTCTTCTTTAGATTTGTCTCTTGCAGACTCTGTCCTCCTCAATGAATTCGATTGGTTAGTCCACAATGATCTTTGTGGAAGTGACCACTTCCCAACTATCCTTTCAGAAGAAACTGCATCTGATTTTAAAAGCAAACTGGTCCTTGTTCGAAACTATATGCAAATCTAAACTGCGACCTGAATAGTTCAATGATGAAACTGATCCTGTTCAGAGAATAAAAGGCAAAGGATCAAAATCGGCTGTTCATCATCTTAAAGATGGTGATGATTTACTAACTGACAAATCTACAATTGCAAACATAATTGGCGACATTCATCATTTTTCAGAGATCAAAATAAAGATTACAATGAAGTGTTTTCATTACATGAGCTACATACAGCTTTTGAGCAAGCTCATGATCACACAGATCCATCAAATTACAGGCCGATATGTTTAACCTGCTGCGTCAGTAAAACCATGGAACGAATGGTAAATAACAGATTAAGTTGGTATCTTGAAACCAATATCTTAATAACAAATATACAATTTGGCTTCCGGAAAATCGTAGCACTATTGATCATTTAGTATGATTGGAATAGTATGCTAAGAATGCGAGTGCAACTAAACAACAGGTAGTATCAATCTTCTTTGATTTGGAGAAAGCCTACGATACTACCTGGAAATACGGCATTCTAAAAGATTTACATGATTTTGGTTTAAGGGGTCGTTTACCTCTTTTTATATCACAGTTTTTAACAGACAGGCATCTTTAAGTCCGAGTGGGTTCAACCATGTCTGATCATAATCAGGATCTGGTGTCCCACAAGGCAGTATTTTGTCTGTAATATTATTTAGTATTAAAATAAACAGTCTTTCAAGGGTTTTAAATGATTCAATCGATGGATGACTTTCCGTGGATGATTTTAATGTTTCGTGTCGTGGTAAAAACATGCATACAATAGGGAGGCAATTACAACTTTGTCTCAATAAAATTCATCAATGGTCACTTGAAAACGGTTTTTCTACATCCAGAACATATTGTATACATTTCTGTAGAAAATATAAACCGGACAAAGACGCAGAACTATTTTTAAATGGCACACCCATCAAGGTTGTAAAAGAGGCCAAGTTCTTGGGACTGTTTTTGACTCTCATCTGACTTTCTTACCACACATTAAGTACCTAAAAAGTAAATGTCTGAAGGCACTTGATTTGTTGAAAGTCGTGTTTAATTCGAAGTGGGGAGGGGATCGAGCTACCCTCCTACATTTATACTATCCCAAAAAAGAAACGCATAGACTAGAAATCTGTTGCGAAAATGTTGTATTTTCAAACATGTATAACTCATATAGACACAAATAGACTTTAGTGCATGATTTTTTACATCAGTTTAGAAGAAGGAAATGTATATACAACCAAGTGGATAATTTTAGATAACGGAGACGTTGTGCGCGATGGTGACGACGTAGCACGGTCCCGAAGTCGGGTCTCCTGGCTCTCAGTCCAATATCTCTCAACCTGTTCCCTACTGATTGACCGGATATCCTCCGAAGTCCAGGCACCCTGGCTGTTGTGCTTTCATCCGTGGCAGTACGATAACGCAAATGTAGTACCCGGATGTACCGATCTTGGGCTGCAGTGGTGACTCGAGGTCTGTCTGTACGGGGACGGTCATTTGTTATACCTGTTTGGTTGTAACGAGCTGCAAGCCGTGATATCGTGCTCAGACTAACATCCAGACGCCTGGCAACAGAAGATTGGTAATATCCAGTGTTCATTCTTTCAATGGTGATGTTCCGTGTCGCAGCGTCAAGACGTTGCGTAGTGATTTGACCTTGACACTCCTTCAAAACGAATGCCGATTTCCGCAAGTAATATGGATTTTTATAGTCAGGTAGTGCATCTCTTTGCTGCACAATTTCAACTGGAAGGTGATTTAGTTGCGTTGTGGCGATGCGTTTTTGTAAGAAATCTCATCAAAATCAACATTTTCAGGTAAAGTCGATTTTTTGTTTGTGCAATTGTGTAAAATCATGTTATAAACACTTGTGTTACATATTTTGACGATTGTTTGAGCACAATAGGTAATTAATAGATTTTTTAAAAATACAACACGCCTATGCGTTTCTTTTTTGGATAGTATATATCGATCACTGGTCCGTTCAAAACTTGATTATGGCTCCATCGTATATGGTGGAGCTTGCAAAAGCAACCTTAAAATTCTTGATTCTGTCCTTCACCAAGGTCTAAGTCTTTTATCCTTTAGAACTTCTCCTGTTGACAGCCTCTTACACAACGCCGTATAAAACTATCCTTGCAAAATATTATAAAACTGTACTCTAACAAATCAAACCCTGCATATAGCTGTGTCTTCAATCCCCTCTATGAGGATATATACAACAAGAAATCTTATCTTGCTCCGCCTCTTGGGTTCAGAATTAAACCATTCCTTTCTGCTGCCGGCATTGAGCTGGAACATTTTCCCGTCTTCTTTCTTCTCCTCCTTGGCAATTGGTTGAGCCACAAGTCGGCCTAACATTAACCACACATTAAAAAAAATCAGAAACCAATTAATTACAATATAAACAAGAATGTAATCAATAAATGAATAAATGTATTACATACAAATCCTTATGTACAGATGGGTCCAAGGATGGTGGCGCAGTGGTCTTGAGCCACTCTGATTGGATCTAGAACAATGTCTTTCTAGATTACCAGATTACAGCTCAATATTCATAGTAGAAGCAAACGCAATACTAACAGCTCTTAAATATAT